ATTTTTTTTTTTTTTAAAAAATGAATTTTTTTAAAAATTGTTTTTTTAAATAAAAAAAAAAAATTTTTTGGGGGGGGGAAAAAAATTTTTTTGGGGGGGAATTTATTTAAAAAAAAAAATTAAAAAAACTTTGGGGATTTCTTAAAAATTTTAAAAAAAAAGGAAGGGTGGAGGGTTTGGGATTTTTTTTTTTTTAAAGAATTTATTTTTTTTTTTTTTTTAGAAAAGGCGGGGATTTTTTAATTTTTAAAAAGGTTTTTTTTTTTTTTTTTTTTTTTTTTTTTTTTTTTTTTTTTTTTTCGTATTTAATATTTATTTTTTTTTATTTTTTTAAAATTTTTTTCATATATTTTTTTAAAGAACCAAATAGAGTCTCTTGGTAATGGACGAGGTGTGCACAAATAAGAAAAATAAAAATAAAAATAAAAATAAAAAAAAATAAAAAAAAAATAATACGTATTATGAAAATTTACATGTACGAACTTGAATCTATATCCAATAATATTTGTTGGTAGCGTAGAAAGATACTTAAAAAATCTGGGTTATAATGATAATACCTGGTGTCTTTAAATAAAAAAATATAAAATAAAATAAAATTTAAAAAAAAAAAAACATTTAATCAATTTTTGACTCAGCCAAGGTCGAAAAAATTTTCGGTTTTTTTTTTGATGACGAAAATGATGAACACTACATCAGTTTTTCTATTTTTTTCATTCAATTTTTGCACTCGTAGATTCTTATTATGAAAAATAAATAAAAAAATAATAAGAATATAAAAAAATAAATTGGTATGAAAAATAAGAAAAAATCGCCTAAAAAATTTTAAGCACTAAAAATATAAAATTAGATAATTGGTTGGAAAAAACCAACAATGATGCATTTAAAGTAGAAAGCATCTATTTGGGAAAGAGAAAAAAAAAAAAAAAAATGATGTCAATTTCTTGAAAAATTACGTTAAAACATTTGTGATTTTTTCCGTAGACTTTTATTTTTTTTTATATATTTATATTTATTTTTATTTTTTCGAGATATGATATAATTATTTTTTTAAAAAAATGCCACCTACTTTTTGATGATAAATACAACCAGAAAAAAAAATAAAATAAAAAAAACAATACATAAAAATATTTATATTTTTTTAAAAAATTATATAAACTAAAACCAATTTATCTTAAAAAAAAGATATTTAATAATTTCCTTCAACACTTCTTTTCCCTTTTCTATCCACCATTTTTATTTTTTTTAATTTTTAATTTTCATTTTTTATTTAGAAAAATATTATATTATATTATATTATATTATATTATATTATATTATATTATATTATATTATATTATATTATATTATATTATTGTATTGTATTGTATTGTATTGTATTGTATTGTATTGTATTGTATTGTATTGTATTGTATTGTATTAAATTTAATATCATGATGTTCTATATTGGCACCCTAAATATTTAAATTTTGAATTAATAATAAATCATAGATTATTGGGTTTATTATATAGTTTACAGTTTTAGTTTGCAAATTAAATAAAAGTAAAATTAATAATATAAATTTCATTTTTATAAATGAATGATAAAATTAAAAAACCTATAAAATTATTTATTATAAATTTTTTAAAAGATATTACGTTTAGATGTAAGTTTTTTTTATTTATCTTTTAAAAGATATTAAGTTTGACAAAAAAATTAAAATATAAAAGAATTGTTTATATTTTAAAATATATTAAATTATATTAAATTATTTTATTTTATTCTATTTTATTTTATTTTAAATTAAAAGTACTATATATGATATGGTTAATACAACAATAATTATGTTTTTGTTTAATTTGAAAGCACTATTGATTTCATCATTACTTGAATCACTTGAATCATTTGAACCATTTGAATCGGTTGGTGGGGCTGGATATACAACATTTTTATATTGAATAAGTGTACTATAATGGTTACCACTAATGATCATTTCGTAAACATATGCACCACCAACTTTAACTGGTGGATATGTTATTTTAATTGAAGATGCTGATACAGATTTAACAGTACATGGTACATTATTGATTCTAACATTAACGGATTTAATATCAGATACAACAAAACTACCACTTAAATCAACTTCGCCACCTGCTAATTCTAATTTATTAGCTGGAGCATCAATATATATAGATTTTGAAAAAGTGGTAAATGTAACTTTATCTGATGTTTGTCCATCAACGGTTACGACAACATCGAAACTTGAGCTTGCTGGGTTACTATCTAAAACAAGAAGGTTTGGTTTGGTAAATGTTGAGGTATATGAGTTTCCACCAATAGTAAGAGAGTTCTTTGAATCATCACTGCTGAAACTGGTACCAACGATTGCTAATGTATTTGAGCTTGTAATATAAAAGAATTCTGGGTTTGGTTTCTTATATCCATAACTAAAGTCAAAAGATTTTGATGGGTTATTATTAAAGGTAATCTTGTAATTGAATGGACCAACACCACTACCTTCTGGGATAACAATACCTAATTTATTATTGGAGGTTTCAAATTTATAGTTTAAGCTTGGTTCGATTGTAACTGAATAACCCATATCTTTTCCTTCAATATATATAATATCACCTTGAGCATCAGCAAGTTTATTATAGCTTGGGTTTACATAAAAGTTTGCTATTATTAAATAAAAAATATTAGTATGGTTTTATATTGTTTCAATAGGTTTGTTTATCAGTATACATACGACATGAAGCATTGGTGGAGGAGTCAAAGTTTGTAAATTTATTTGGAATAATATTATCAGCAGCAGCACCGCCAATACAAACAAAACAGGATGGGACTTCGGTAAATTTGTTAAATTTAATAATCATTGATGATATTGGAATTTGGCAGTATTCATCTGGGATTTTACCTTTAAACTTTAAAAGAATGAATATTAGTTTTTATTTAGTGGGGGCGATGTTTAAAATTTTTTTAAAAAAAAAATAAAAAGATGAAAAATGAACTTACAGCACTGTCACTAATTTTTAAATATTCAATTGAAGCAAAATCGATGGTATCTACTGGTAACTCTTGTGAAAAGTAGTTATATGAAATTTCAATGTAGGTAAAGTTTGAAAGATCTAAATTTGTCATATTAAAGTCTAATGAAAAAGTATAGAGTTCACTATTTTGTGGAACAACCAAACATGGTCTACCAGTACATGAGCTTAATAAGTCGCCAGCTTGTTCGATATTACTAAATTAAAAATTAAAAAAATAAAAAGTTAAAATTTTTTTATTTTTTTTATATTTGAAAATTATAATACTTACATATTTAAACCTGTATTGATACTTGAAACATCTAAGTAACCAATTGATTTATCAATCTTGAAACCTTTTTTGAAAATACTTAATTCTTTTAATGATTTAATATTGTTAATTGAAGATGGGAAGTTAAAGAGTTGAATTTTTGATTCATCGTCATAGGTAAAGTCGAAAATGAGTGTCTTCAATGCATTAAATTCACCAAATGTTGGGAATTCGAATGAACCTAATGATGGGTTAATAGTAGTACCAACTTCGTTGTAGACATAGAGATTTAATGATTGTAATGATTTTAATCTATTTAAATTGTTTGGGAAGCCCGATGAAAAAGTTAATGGAATTTCTAAATCGATTAAATATTGGTTATCGTTACTAAGGGTTGAAGCAATGCCATAGCCTGGTAATGCATTAACTACTGTTAAAAATTGTGCATTTCCATTAAAGAAACCGCTTACTAATTTGGCGCCAAGATTATTAAATTTAATGCTATTGAGAGATTTAGGAATGGTTACTGAATCTGAAATTGCAGTTTCGTGGGTATCAATAAAACTATATAAATATAAATAAAAAATTAGTAATAATAATGATATTGCTATTATTGAATCCAGTTAAATATTTACAGTGATGTTAAACTATTTAATTTATTTAATCCACTAAAGAAGTTTGGACTAACTCTATAATATGAAGTAATGTGAATTTTGGTAATATTGACAAATGCAGTGAAATCGCTTTCAATATTGACAACACTTGTTTGAGATTGATAAAAAAATAAACTTTCTACATAATACAAAGTGTCGACATTTGATGGATCGATAGCTTTACAACTAATATAACCTGATGAACATGGATCTGATGTAGTTACTCCAAACACTTGTTTAATTAAATTTATTGCTTCTTGTTTTTGACTAGCACCTGATAACTCTTGCACTGCGAACACACAGTTTATAATTAATAATAAAATTATAAAAATTTTCATTTTTCAATTTTTTATTTTTTTAATTTTTTTTTTTATATAAGCTTCAAAAAAAAAAAAAAAAACTAAAATAAATTAAACAAAATATGTTTTTATCACACAAACTAAAAATAAATTAACATGTATTATAAAAAAAAAAAAATAATTAAAAAAAAAAAAAACTATGAAAAAAAAAAAAAAATAGAAAAAAAAAACAATAAATATAAATATTATTATTATAACAGTTTAGGGTGATAAATTTTTTTACTATAAAAAAAATCCTCTTAAAATCTCAGACATTTATTTTAGTTTTTTGTGAGCGATGAGTGTTAAGTGGTGTTGAGAAAAACAAAACTTTGTGTGGAAAAGGTTTTAGACCAACATCAACCCCTCATTGTAAAAAAGTAATCTTTGAAAATCTTTTTTTTTTTTTTTAATTTTTTTTTTTTTAAAATTTTTTTTTTTTCTAAATCCAATGGCTATTATCCAATCATTTTCTTGATAAACTTTAAAAAAAAACATCAATCAAATGGAATATCATTGAATCTTATTTTTATCGTCTTTTTCGAATTAATTATTATAAACCTTTTGTTTTATTGATTTAGTTATAATAATATATTTATTATAAAAAAAAAAAACGAATTTTCGTTTTTTTTTTTTTTTTTTTATATATATTTATTATTATAAATTATTAAAAGAAAAATTTTTAAATCTTTTTTTTATGCCCAATAATTTGTAATAAACTGGGGAGTTTTCTTGTAATAATTGAGAGTGGGAACCTTGATGAACCAATTTACCGTGATCTAAAACAAAAATATGGTCGACTAAGTTTTGGATACTTGCTACATCGTGGGTGACTAAAATGATGGTGATGTTATGTTTTTCGGCAAAATTAAATAACTTTGGTAAACAAATATTAAATTTTTTATAGTAGTCCATTGCTGAAAGGGATTCGTCTAAAACAATAACTTTGGCTTCTGTTCTAACGAAAACTCTTGCTAAAGCGATTGATTGAGCAAAACCACCACTAATATTTTTACCACCTGCTTCAACAAATTGGTTTAATATTGGGTGGTTTGAAATACCATCTGCTATTTGAGGAACAATGATTGGGGTTGATGAATGTGGATTCTCTTCTTCTTCGTCAGATTCGTCATTACTATTCATTGAGGTTAAATTTAAAACTGACCATACTCTTTTAACTAATTTGTTTGATTCTAAATCATCAGCTGCTCCATTTAAAGCTTTATTGGTTGGTGAATCTAAAATGGTTGTGGCCTTATTATTATTATTGTTGTTGTTATTATTATTTAATTGTGACATTGAACTATTTCTACGAATAAAGGTGTTGTTGTTGATAATGGTGCTTTTGTTAATCACATCAATGTTATTATATTGGCTAAGGCTATTGGTGCTGATACTACTTTTAAATGGTGAGCTCAATTTGCCGCTGCCGCTACTACCAATACTACTATTGTTATGTAGGTTATCGGTGCTATTTGTAGTGTTTTCTTCGGTCTCTCGAATAATTGAGGTTGTATTTTTTAAGCTACTATTTAATGGAGTTAATGGTGGTGATGGTGCAGTTGGTGGGATTTCCATATCTGGGTCAAAATTTTCGGAAGAGTCAAAGCTGGTTTTCAATAGATTGAAGTTATCATCGGCAAAAGCAAAAACACCAGCAGCATCAGCAGCTTCTAAGATTTGAGCTTCGGTTGCAGATGGATTACCGACTCTGATATTATCTAAAATTGTACCTGGAAATATAAAGGGTCTTTGTGATACATATGAAATCATTCTACGGATTGAGGATCTTGAAATTTCTGAATAGGGTATACCGTTCATAGAGATTTGACCTTCGGTTGGAGTGTATAGTTTACAAAGTAAGTGGTTCAAAGTTGATTTGCCTGATCTATTTTGGCCTATTAATGCATATCTTTTACCGGGTAAAATTACCATTTCGTCTTGTAAATCTAAAACTGGTGTTGATGGTTCATTTTTGTTTTCATAGCTAAATTTCAAATCTGCTGAAATTTTTAATTCGTCGAATTTATAAATACTAAATAGAAGTTGTTTAGTATATTTACATAGACAAAGATATATTTAAAAATAATAAACAAATTAATACTTACTATTTCAAATCGCTATCTTCTTCAATAAATGTTGGTATATTTAATAGCTTTTTAACTTTTTTTTGATGTTTATAAATATTCTTAAAACTGCCAATAGATTGAACGAGACGATTACCTAAACGAATAACACGGTTAATATCTAAAAGTGTGGTTCTGTATTCTTGATTATTAATATTTCTACGGTTCATAACTTTATGAGCAACCCAAACTTCAGCGGCAAATTCAAATACTGAACGGTTATGAATGGATCTCCATGTTGATGAAATTAATGTTGAAAACGATTGTGTATTCTTTAATTCTTTATCGATTAAATTGTCAAATAAGTTTAATTGTGTTTCTTGAAGATTGTTAATTTGAATATCTGATAGACCCTCTGCTGTATTTGATATCATTTTGCTCATTGCTGAATTATATGTATCTTTAAACTTTAGTTCATTATTCTCTACTAAATGCTCTCTTAATTTTTGACTAACTTTTTGATAGATTGCAATCAAAATTGGATGTAGAACAATTAATGGATCGATTTTATTTTTATTTTTTAATAGCTCTGAACCTTCAATAACTATAGTTGATGTATAAATTAAAAATTAATAGTTGGTTATTATTTTAATGTTTTTATAATTTTAAAAACTTACCAAAGGCATATAGTGACGCTATTAAATCTGGAATAGTGAATGTAAAAAACGAAATGGTTGTATTGATAGAGGATGATAGTTTGTACTCTATTTCTACCGGCCCTATATTTTTCTTTTTTTTTAAAAAATCAAATGCTCCGATTTCAGAATATAACAATTTTTCCATAACCAGCCTCTTAATCTGTAGCCTATTCTCCTGTGACTATAAAATAAAATTTTCTTTGTTAATATGGGTCTAATTAGGAGGATACTGATTGGTTTTTAAATACTTACGACAATCGATATTAAATGATTATTTATATTATCTAAAATTGCATAGTATATTGTTAAAATTACATATCTTGTTACTTCAGAGTGTGAGTAGGGGCCATTCGTTGACATTACGTGTGTAATTTGAACTCTTGATGTTCTTAAATAGTTACCAATCTTTCTTTTTGAAGCATACCATGGTAATAGCTAGATTTTATATTATATAAAAACAAATTAAAATTAGTAAAATTTACGGAAATTTTTATAAAATTTTTTTGTTTTTTTTTTTTGTATTACCTCTAAAATTAATGGCATAATATAATGTACAGCTATGGTTTTAAATAATAATGATTTGTTTCTTAACCACAGATATCTGTAAAATACAGTAATTGGCATACCATATATAAACCACCCTATTTTTATGAGTCTTGCTCTTAACCAATTTAAAAATCTATTACCCTTTTTTCCATTTTTTTCACTTGATAAAGCTAAGTCAGAGCTGCTATCGCTGTTATTCGGGTGATCCATTTAATATTATAAATATATACAGTTTTATTTATTATTACCTATTGTCTATTTTCTATTGTTTGAATGCTATATTTGTTTATTATTCTAGATACTATTCTACAAGAGTTATTTGGTAATTTGACAATTATTAATTAGACAACTATTAATTTGATACACAAATATGAAAAATAATAAAAAAAAAATAAAAAAATAAAATTTATTTTTTAAATTATTTTTTATTTTTTTTTTATTTTCACACTATTTATTTATTTATTTATTTATTAATTTATTATTGTTTTTTTATACATGTATATCTTTTATTTGTTTATTATAGATTTAATTAAAGAATAGATAACTTTAAAATTTTTTATTTACCATAGTTTTCAAATAAACAACAACAAAAATTTAAAAAAAAAATAAAAAAAAAATAATATCTATTGTTTTTTTTTTTTTTAAAAAAATTAATTAAATTTAAAAAATTTCGAAAAAATAAAAAATAAAAAAGTAAAATAAATTAAAAAATAAATTATTATAAAATGATTACCAAAAAAAGATAATCTTTTTCTATTTAAATATTTTTTAATTTTGAGAACAAAAACCTTTTTTAATATGAATGATTATATTTCCATTAAGACACTGTTGGAGCAATATCACCTTCTTTTTAATTTGTATAATAAAATTATAGATGAATTTTTTTACTAAGTATAGTTTGATCATGAGTTCTAATGGTTCATTAACCACAATAATAGCTTTTGTTGCATTTCTTCAAATTCAATGATATCTAAGTTGATCCATTGGTTTGTAAATTCCTCTCATTTTATTATTATTTTCTAAATTCATTATACTACAATACATATTTAATTTAATGAAGTTTTATTTTATTATATTATTTTGTTCAATACAAATATTTTTCTTTGTTCAAAATATGAAGTTTCTTATGTATATTTTAAAAAAAATTTTATAAAGAGTCATCATCAGAGTATAATATTGCTGAGGAAGCTTTATAATTAATGAAACCTGTATTGTTTGAATCAGCTGCTCATTAAATATGCTTATCTAAAATAAATAAATAATTCTTATTTATTTAAAAATTATAATGTAATTGTATGAAATTAGTGTTTTTTAAAATAAACATATATAACCACATTTTTATTATTTATTTTCCCCTCTTTTATATCTTTTTTTATCAGCACATAATCTCAATAATTTCTATACCTATATTTAAATCACATAATATTTCAAATCATCACTGATTTACTTTTTGAAACATGCTAAAAAACTACATATCGACAATTCTTTTATCAATCACCTCAACCAAATATTCTCCCACCCCATTTAAAAACATTTTAGAACATTCTTTTTAATCATCCAATACGCCCAAAGAATCAAAATGATTCTGTTTTAATAATCATTTATCAAACATTTTATCACCATTAAAATCATTAAAAAAACCTATCAATACCAAGTAATAATAATTATAAAAAAATAAATTATTTAAAAAATAATAATTCTAAACACAACCCTTTTTTATTTTTATTTTTTATTTTTTTTAATTTTATTATTAAAGAAAAAAAAAAAAATTTTAATTTAATTTAAGGTTTTTTAATTGGATTAATTTTTTTTTTAACTATTTAATTAATAATTCATTGTCCTCGATGTTATTATTTCTAATTTCTGAATAACAAATAATTAAAAATGCACTTACACTATATCAAAATTAAAATTTTTTTTTGTTTTTTTTAGTTTTTTTTTTTATTTTTTTTTTTTGAGTTTTGAAGGAATTAATTATTTTTTTTTTTATTTTTTTTTAATTATTAATATTTTAAACATTAAAAAACATTATATATAAAATCAAATAGAAATGAAATAATGGTAAAGAGCATAAAATTAAACATTGACAGAGGTTGAACATTCACAGATATTTATGCAGAGTTCCCATATTATATTTTTGAAGAAGAGCTATTATTCGACCCAGATAACAACTCTGGTGCAAGATTACCCTTTTTATAACAAACGGGTCCTACAGATTCTCAACTAATTAAATAAATTAACTGATTTTAAAGAATAAATGTGGGTCACCAATAAAATCAGTATGAATCTCCAAATGTGGAGCTTGAATAATTAAACCCCATTATCTTTTAAATTTTAACTCAGTTATTGCAAATTTATTATTAGGTAGTTATTACCACAATTTTTCCCATCAATTTTTTACCCAAATCAAATTAACAATTAGATTACCAAGCTACTCTATCTGAGAGATAAATAGTGTCTAAAGTAAAAACAACCTTCCATCATTGACATATCTGTGCCAGAGAATCTTAGATTTAAATCTTCACAAATAATATCCTTTTTGTTGAATCTTTTGGACAAGAGTTGTTTCTTTGTATCATTCATTTGGTCCCATAAAATAATGTAAAATTGTGTGCATTTTTACCACATAAAAAAATTTTAATTTTGCCATATAAAAATTTACATGTTTAATATTTTAATTTTTTTTTATTTTTTTTTATTTTTTTATAAACAAACACAAACACACAAAAAAAACCTTATTCCTTGTATATCAAATAATGGCATCAAAAAGAAAAGATAATAATAATAATAATAATTATGATAAAACTAAAATTAAATACACAATTGAGGATATTTTAGTTGATTTCAATTTATTAGAAGACAAGTATATGTGTGAAATTTGTACCGGATGTGTATTTAAAGATTTAAATAAAATAGAAGCATTTCAATGTAAAGAGGGCCATGTTTTTTGCACAAGTTGTTGGACCCAATCTTTAGCAAGAAAAAAAGAATGTATGGCTTGTAGAGCTCCATGTGAATTCAACACTTTATCGAAAAATATATTACTTCAAAAAGTAAGTAAAATATTAATTTTTTAAAATTTTTTTAAAAATTAAAACTGTTTATTAATAAATTTATAGGATTTTAGAGAAAAAAGAGTATATTGCCCAAATATTTATAGATATGTTGGTGGAAAGATTGTAAAAGATGAAAGGTTTGGTTGTAAAATGATATTTTCTTATGATGAATTAGAAAGCCATTTAAAAAACTGTCCAAAAGAATTTATAGAGTGTCCTTTTAATAAAAGTACTACCTCAAAAGAATTAAAATGTCAAAGTATAATTAGAAAAAGTTTAATTTATAGTCATCAAGAAATATGTGTTTTAACCATTGGTGTTTGCACATATTGTCAAGTTGATTTAGGAAAAAAAGAGATTTTAAAAGAGCATCAAGAAAAAACTTGCCAAAAATATTTGGTTAAATGTACTCAAGAATGCAAAAATAGTACTACTAATTTTGTTATGGTCGAAAGAGGCAATTTACAAAATCATATTAAAATAGATTGCCCTAAAACTAAAATTCAATGTAAATATATAGATGGTGGCTGCACTGAAGTTTTTCAAAGATGTGATCAAGTAAAGCATTTAAATGATGTTAACCATTCTGTTTATATTCAAAATATAATGGATCAACAATTTAAAGCATCACAAGAAATGGTAGCTAAGCTAACACTAGAAAATCAAGAACTTCAAAAAAAACTAGACCAATATTCAATTAAAATTGACCAGTTAGAACTAAAATATAACACAACAAATTCATTATTAACCCAAGTCAAAGAAAATCTTGGAGACAATACAATTAAAACTGACCAGTTACAAATTGGGTATAATACTACAAATTCATTATTAACCCAAACTAAAAAAGATTTTAAAGACCAGTATTCAAATAAAATCAATCAGTTAGAACAAAAGTATAATAACACACAATCATTGTTAAAAAAAACTATAAAAAATTATGAAGACCAATATTCAAATAAAATTAACCAGTTAGAAGAAAAGTATAATAACACACATTCATTGTTAAAAAAAACTATAAAAAATTATGAAGACCAATATTCAACCATAGTTAACCAGTTAGAACAAAAATATAATTCCACAAATTCAAACATAACTCGTTTCAAAAAAGATCTTGAAGATCAATATTCAAATATAATTTGCCAGTTAGGAAAGTATAATCATACAAACCCATTGTTAAAAAAAATTGGCCAGTATTTTAGTTTTGGCTGGGTCACGAAAATTTTTTTTTTTAATATATTCTTTTTTTTATTTTTTTTTTATATTAAAAAGTTGGTTCATAAATATAAAAAAGATAAACGTTTATAATATTTAATAAATAAAAATATTTAATTTATTTTTTTTTAATTTTTTTTATAATTTTTTTTTTTTACGATAGGTCAAATCTTTTTTGAAAGATAATTAATATTTTAGTGTTTTAGAAAATAATTTTTTATTTTTGATATTTTAATTGAAAATTTTTAATATTTTGTTAAAACACCTCTATTTTTAATTATTTAATTGATTTTTTTTGGGATTGGTTGATAATAAATTTTTTTTAAACATTTCAATTTAATCTTTAATAATTATTTTACTACCTGGATATTTTTTGAGTTGAATTGGATCATTTAATGCATAATTTCTCAAAATAGCTTTAATTGTTGATCACCTGCATTCAATTATTTCTTCTTTTTTTTTATATTTATTATAGTTTTATTAAAACATAATATTATTATAATAAAAATAAAAAAAAAGATAAAAATTAATTATCTTTCAGTAAAGATTTGACCGACTTTTTTTTATAAGGAAAATAAAAAAAAAAAAAATAAAAATAATAAAAAGACAGTATTTTTAAATAATACGTTATTTTTTATATATATTTACCTTTTATTGATATAATAAAAATAAAAAATACATGATTTACACAACAATTAAAATTTTTTATCATACCCAGTAAAAAAAATCTTGAAAATACTGTGGAAAAAAAAATAATTCCACAAATTCATTCATAATCGATTTCAAAAAAGATCTTGAAGATTAATATTCAACTAAAATTTGCCAGTTAGAAAAGTATAATCACACAAACTTATTAAAAAAAAATCGAAAAGGATTCCAAAACAATACTTAAAGACTATAAATATAAAAATAGATGGGAACATACCTATAGTCCTCATGTAAAAACACTATATTTATTGATTATTAAAACAAATCTTTTTTATTTTAAATTAAAAATTTTATTTTTTGGGTTATAATTTCATTTGAAATTTTTATTATTTATTTTATCATTACATTTCTTGATACTATAAAAAAAAAAAAAAAGGTGGGATAATTTATAATTAAATTAAAAATAATTGTATTTTAAATTCAAAATTATTATAAAAAATCATTTTTTAAAAATATTTTAAAATTAAAAAATATTTTAAAATTTTTTTTTTTTCATATTTTTTTTAATTTTTTTTTTTTTTAATTTTTTAAATCAAAAGATATTTTATGACTCTTTGTGTTATATGAAATAAAAAATAAATAAAATATAAATAATAGATACAAAAAAAACATATAAATAAATAAAAAATAATATATAATAAATAAATAAACAAACAAACAAAAAAATAAATAAATAAATAAATTATAAAATATTTTTAAAATTCTAACTCTGTTAATATAAATAAAAAAGATGTCTTGTGGATCAGGATCAGATAATTTAGAAGATATTGGTAATAATTTTATTCCTAAAATTTTATCAAACAAACCAAAACCAACCAAAAGTACATCCATTATGATTGAACAGACTGAAGATACAGCAGTAGTTACTTCATCATTAAAACCAAAAAACTCATCAGGTTGTTGTGGAGGTAATAGTAATGGAGGGGATTGTTGTGAAAGTAAATCACCATCATTATTAAAAACAAATTCAACTGGTAATAAATCATCAGATTGTTGCGGCGGTAGTAGTGAAAATAACAAAAGTGATTGTTGTAGTAGTAATAATAATGTAAATAAAAAAAATGATTGTTGTAGTAGTAATAGTAATAGTAGTAAAGGAGATTGTTGTAGTAGTAATAATCAAATAAAAAATAACCCAACAGATACTAAATCATCATGTTGCAGTGATAAAAGCAATTCTAATTGTTGTAAATCAGATAATAAACCAAAAATTAGCGATGATTCAAATGTTATATCAAGTAGTGCAATTAAGATTATTGAAGATACAGTTAAAGCATCAACAGGATGCCCATCAGATACCCCAAGCGCTGGAAGCGAGTCCGTTTGTAATGGGTGCCCAGGTCAAAGTGCATGCAAATCTCAAGCTGATAATCCAGATATAAAGAGTATAGAGATCAGAATGAGGGCTATAAAGAATAAGGTTTTAGTAATGTCATCAAAAGGAGGTGTTGGAAAATCAACAGTATCATCGTTGCTCTCATATGGTTTTTCCAAAAGAAATAATCAAAAAGTATCAGTTCTAGATGTCGATGTTTGTGGGCCATCCATTCCAAAATTAATGGGAGTTGACAAGCAACAAATCATAAACTCAGAGTATGGTTGGATACCTCCAAAAGCACCAAATCACGAAATTAAAGTAATGTCAGTTGGCTTCCTATTAAACTCACCAGATGCCCCTGTTATTTGGAAAGGTCCAAGAAAAACTACAATGATTCGTCGTTTCCTTAAAGATACATTCTGGGGCAAGCAAGATTATTTAGTTATAGATACACCACCTGGTACTAGCGATGAACATCTTTCAATCATAAATTCATTAAAAACCTGTAATCCAGATGGGGCAGTTTTAGTTACCACTCCACAAGACCTTTCAGTAGACACTGTCAAGAAAGAAATCGACCTTTGCAGAGAACTTAAAGTACCAATTATTGGCATCATCGAAAATCTATCTGGTTTTGTATGTCCATGTTGTGATGAAGTGACCGAAATTTTTAAATCTGATGGTGGTAGAAAGTTAGCAGAGCAATATAATATACCATTCCTTGGTAAAATTCCAATAGATACAAACTTGGGTCAATGCGCTGAAAACGGCAAATGTTCAATCTGTGAATTTTCCGAAACACCAGGTTCAAAATCTATTCAATCAATTATCGAAAAAATTGAAGAGATTATAAACGAAAATAAACAAAAAAGAATTTAAAAATAAACCTAATATTTTTAATAATTTGTTTAATTGTATATTTTAAAATATACAACCAATTTTTTTTTATTTTTTATTTTTATTTTTTTTTATTTTAAATTCTTAAATTCTTAAATTCTAGGTTGTTTAAACTTTTTACCAATGGTAGTAATTATTTGGTATAAACCATTATTTAATATAACCTTAAAATAATTTTCATTACTTTTTTTTAGTAAAAAAAAATTATAAAAAGGGGTAAATTTTTAGACTATGAATCATAAAATAATAAATAGATAGATATTTAAAACATTTAATTTTTCATTATAAAATAAATACTAAATTATAAATACTATAAAAATTATTTTTTTCTTTGCTTTTTTAAAAATAATTATTATTTTAAATTATAGTTTAATGTCAAAAAAAAGAATTAGCTTATCCTTGTTCCCAAATGCAGGTTGTACTATTCCATGGGTTTATACTAAAAAATATAATATCAAAGAAAGAGTTTTTAATAAAATTAATATTGACTCAAACTTTCAAGTAAATACATTGAACGATATTTCATTTATTCAAGTAAATTTTTGTAAAACTTTTAGATTTGATAATAGTGATTTATTACTGAATGGGTCCATTTATCCAGATAATGCATTATGCATTAAAAGAGTACTGGATGAAGGAATAACTGATACCTGTGGGGTATTAAGTATTGTTTTTGGTAATTTTCTTACAGAACTAAATCTTGAAGTTAGACTTGTTAAAGCAACACTGACAAAATACAAAGGTCATCATAATCATTTTTTTAACATTTTAAAATGGAGGGATGGAAGGGAATATATAGTAGATGTTGCCGTTGGTTATTTTAACTCATTTTACCCAGTTGAAATTGGAGGTAATGAAATTATTAATAATAATAATGGTTATAGATGTAGAAAACTCGCAAAAGATGAAGAAATTGGTGATAAAGAAATGTATATTTTTGAGTACAGATCATTATTACCAAATGGAGACAACTCATGGAAGGTAATAGTTTGTTTTGATAGAAATATGAAAGTTAGTTTCTCAACATTTGTTATGGCAGAACAAGAATATCGAAAAACAAAGCAACTAATTATATATTTACTTTTTGATGAAGGTTCATACTTTTTAACAAAAGATTATTTTTTAATTAAATATCATAATGGTGAAAATATAAATATCCCTATCTTAAGTTTAAATCATCTATTAGAAATTGCCAATAAATATTTTAAAATTGATAATTTTAAAGTTTTAAAAGAGTTATTTATAAATTATAGAAAAGCAAAATTATAAAGATTAATTATAAAAAAAAAATAAAAAAAATTAAATAAAAAAATAAAAAAACTAGTTTTTAATTTATTTCTCTTTATTTGTTATATATTTAATTATAATTCATCTTCAATTGATGAAAGTTCTGGTAATCCTAATGTTAAATTGAGATTTTGTAAAGCTTGTGTTGCAGCACCTTTTAATAAATTATCTAAAGTAGTAACAACAACTAAATGATTACCATTAACAGCGAAACCACCAATAGTAACAGTATGTTTACCACTATTTGCTTTAACCTCTGGGATACCATCTTTGTCAATTTTAATTAATGGTTCGTTATGATAGTATTTTTGATAACGTTGGATGACTTGTTCTTTGGTGAGTGGATATTTTAATTCCATAGAGATGGTTAAAGTAATTCCTTGGAAGAATTGACCAACGTGTGGCATAAAGAAAATTGGTGAACCTAATTGATGACCAACTTCGAGTTCGTGAGTGTGATTAACTAATTTGTATGGTAAAATATTGTTGCTTAAACGATTGAGATCATTTTTATCACTTGGTTTGCTACCAGCACCACTGTAACCAGAGATACCAAAGCATGATGGTGGTGAGACTAAATCACCAATGAATGGTTTTAATGTTAAGAACATACCGGTGGCATAACAACCTGGATTAGCAATTAATTTAGATTCTTTAATGATAGCTCTGTTTGTTTCTGGTTGACCATAGGTCCATTTGTCATCAAATCTGTGGTCAGATGATAAATCTACTAAGACTGGTCTTTCATTTGATTTTTCTAAGGTTTCAACGTATGGAGCTGAAATTTTATCTGGTAAAGCTAAGAACCAACCATCAATACCGTGATCACGAGTAAAGATATCAACGTTTTCTGGTTTAACATTTTCAAACTTCAAGTCACTCTTTAAACTTGGGAATTCGGTAGTAACTGGCTTGCCAAAGTTTGTTGAGGATGATGCGACTGCTAACTCTAATTGTTTGTGGTTATCGATTAATCTAACTAAATTACCACCAGTGAAACCTCTAGCACCAATTAAACCAACACGGTATTTACGTGATTTATCTGGTAAAACTTTATCGGATGCTGATGCACCACCCTTTGAGATACTATTTAAATAGGTATTTGATGATTGATTTGAAACTTCATTGAGGACTGATTCAATTTCGTTGGTTTCGATATTGGTCCAATAGATTTTTTCATTGGTTTTGGCATTGAAGCTGTAACCTTGAGCTACTTTCTTGAACCAATCTGTAACTAAATCACTCTCTTCACTTGGGGATTGTTTCCAAACAAATTTATCTGTAGCAAATAATTTCTTGAAAATAGATTCTGAATCTTCAGTGGATTGAACAGCACTATTAAAGAAAAGGAATTGATCAACAAAGTTATAGTTTTTGACTTTTCTAACGATTAAGCCAGCGGTATAGTAGTTATTGACATATACTTTAATTGAACCTTTTGAGATATCATTTTTAAGTTGTTGGAAATCGATTCTATTTTTATGGGTTGAGGATTTTTCGACTAAAGCAAAGAATTTACTTTCTTCAAAGCTAGAAGATTCACTAGAGAGCATAACTTCACCTCTTTCAACGGTTGTACCACTACCTTTCTTTGAGAATAATTCTTTCATTAAGAGGTCTGGTGAAGTAATAGTGATTGAAGTTGATGGTGGTAAAACATCGAGACAACTCTTGAATTCCTTTAACTTTAATTTGGTGCCATGTTTGACCCATGGTTGTTTCATTAAGCCGTCGTATTGTTCATCCAATCTAATATGTTGCATAACTTTACCATCACCATCTTTCATACCAGCAGTAGTATTGATGAAAAGAATTTTAAGTGGATTAATAGATTTAGCTAATTCTAAAGCGGCAACATCGGCGTTAATATTGAGTACTTGACCTTCTGGAGTCATGGCCAATGAAGAGATAACTGGTACGTAATCGTTGGTAATACATGAGGCTAAAGCATTAGTGTGAATTTTAGTGACATTGCCAACAAAACCATATAATTGTGGGTCTAAAGGAGTAGCTTGATAAACACCTTGAGTAATTGGTCTTGCCTTGGTACCACTTGACTCTAAAGCTTCGACAATTTTTAAATTCTCTCTAAGGAAAACTCTTTGAGCAATAGCTAAAACAGATGGAGGAGTAACTCTGAGACCTTCAACGTATTCAGCTGTTTCACCTGCGGCCTCTAATTCGGCATTTAATTGTGGACCACCACCGTGTACAACAATTGGGAATAAACCTATCTTTCTAAGGAAATTTAATGAATTGATTAATGATGATAAATCAGATTCAATAACACCACCACCAATCTTGACTAATACAATTTGCTTCTTCTCTCCAATTTTAACATTCTTTGAATAAATATTGGCAGTAGCTTGAGCTCCAATCTTATTTTCATTAAAATTAACTTGTGCTCCTGAACTGATGACTCTGGTAACTGATGGCTTTTTGTTAACAAATTCGTCAATCTTTTTAATTTGATTGTAAATGTTATTGGTTGAAACACTTGATCCTGTTGAAAAACATTTGTAACTGGTTTTATTTAAAGTTTTTAAATTCTTAGTTAAATTAATAATTTTATTTGAGTTTTTAATCATTTTTTTTTATTAATTTGTATTTTTTTTTAAAAAGTGAAATTATTATTTATTTATTTAATAAAAATTTAAAAACTATTTATATATATATTTAATGTACTGTAATTTGTTGGAATTTATTTTTAAATAAATTATTATGAAAAAATAAATAAAATAAATAAATAATAATACTATTTGTTATTTATTTATATTTTTTTTTTTTTCAAATTACAATTGTGTGAGTGATAGTGTGTATGAAAAATAAAAAAATTAAAAAAAAAAGTGTGTTCACTTTAAGGTTAAAAAAAAAAAAATTAAAAAAAATAAAAAAAAAAAACAAATTAAAAATAAAAAAAATAAAATAATAAAAATTATAAAATAAAAAAATAAAAATAAAAAAATCTTAAAAAGTATAATATTTCCGAATATATTAATTCTTTATTCGTTCATTTTTTTTTTTCCTTGTGATTTGGCTAAAAAAAAAATAAAATATAGGAAAAAAAAAGAACTATTAATATAAAAAAGCTTTTTTATTTATAAATGATTATTATTATAATAATCTTTTTTTTCATTTTATTAATTTATTTTTTTATTTTTTTTTGATCATTTCATTCTGGTCTTCGTTTTTTTTTTTTATTTTTTATTTTTTTTATTTTTATTTTTTTTTATTATTTTTATACTTTCTATTTCTGTATATATTATTATCAAAAACAAATACCCATTTTTATTATTATAAATATATCTTATATTAAATCTAAAAGAAAAAAATGAGAATGGAAATTATTAGACAATTTGATAAATAAATAAATATTTTTATTAATTATTATTATTATTATTATTATTATTATTATTATTATTATTATTATTATTATTATTATTATTATTATTATTATTATTAAGCTGGTTGCTGAGCACTATTTTTAATAGAGACTGAACTATCGGTAGACTCTGTATTTTGATTTGTATTTTTAGAATAATCACTCATAGTTCTTAGATGAGTACCATTTGATGTGTTATTATAAGTACCAGTTGCTGAAGTTGAATCGAGATGCTGAAATCTTTCAAAGAAAGGAACACCCAATGCGGTCAAAGCTCTTGCATAATGCGCAAAAACTTTATTGTTAAGGCAATATGAAACAAATATTAGGAACCCCTAAAATATAAATTAAAAGAAATAAGTATCATATGTTTAGTTTATTAATAAATTGGTTGCAATATAACATACCTGTAATGTTGTAGTAATAGAAAATAAAATTTGAAAAATATATTGTGGAATACTACCATTTTTAAAAAACACCGTTATAAAACCAAACAACCAAGAAAACCCAATCGAAATAAATATTGAAAAATAAACTCTAAATTGTTTTGATTTTTCTTTTTTTTTAGTTGGAGGTGAATGTTTAAAAGTTTTTTGAATTTCTCTTGCTGTAAAAAAAAATGTTATTGAATTTGCACAAACTATTATTAATCCTGGTACAAAGAAACCTAAATAAATTGGTAAATCATTTTCTAAATAGCAACTTTCAAAAAAGAAAAAAAAAAAAGGTTAATAATCCAGCTATATAAATTTTAATCAATTAGTATACTTACAAACCACCTTTATTTATATATTTTTGAAATGATGAACATAGTATTACAATTACTAAAGGTATTCCCCATGAAATTAGGTGATAATATAGTTCGAATGATTCTGCATCTCTATTTCTTTTTACTATCATTTGAAAGAAATTAAAACTAACACAAAATGTCCAAAAGAAATCAGCCAAGAAAAAATAATGAATTAAAATTGCAGATGGTATACAAAATAAATTCTCTGCTGATCTATATGAAACTTCGAAAAATAAATGTGCAAAAAAAATTGAAAAACATAAATAAACAATTAATCGTATTGGGAAACTTCTTAATCTATAAAACAATATAAATGTAAATATTGTTAAAAATGAACCAATTATAGACAAACATAAAAATATATCTGTAATATATCCCAATGCTATATTTAAATTATCATAACTGGTTTTCATTTTATTATTACAACTATTTATAATATTTTATTATTTTATTTTTATTATTTTTATTATTATTATTATTTTTATTATTTTATTATTTTTACTTTTAATAAAAACAAAAAACTAATACATTGGTAACAAAACTGTTTATATAAACATAGTATTTTATTTTCTAAAGATATATATGATAAAAAAATAATAAAAAAATAAAAATAAAAAAATAAAAAATTAAATACAAAAATAAATTAAATAAATAAATAAATAAATAAACAAATTAATAATTATTTAAAATAGTTATAATTGGTAGTGTTGCTAACAATTATGGTTTTTTTTTTTTTTTCACACACTTCGTGCTTTTAATATTTTGTGTGTATTAAATAAAATTTTTTTTTAATGATTGTTTTTAGCTATATAAACACACACACACACACACATACACACACAAATACTACCATATTTATTTCCTCTTTACAAAAATAGAAATAGTCTATTTCATTCTATGGTTCTAAAAAATTTAAATTTTTCATATTAATAAATATTTTATTATTTATATAAATAATAAGGTGCTTTTGAAAAAAAAATAATAATTTTTAAAAGTATATAACGTTAAATTTAAATAAAAAAAAAATAAAAAAAAAAATGATCACAATTCTTATTATTTGCATAATTATAATAATTTATTTTTATTTATTTTTAATATTTAAAAAAAAAAATTAAAAAATAATCAAAATTATTTTTTAATTTTTTTAATTTTATTTTTTAGCGCCATGAATATTTTTCAATTTAATTTTAAATATTCATAACTTTACAAAAAAAAAAAAAAGCAATTAAATAAATAATATTATATTATTAATAAAATAAAACACAAAAACAGATAAAAAGCAGAAAAAAAAAAAGAAAAACAAATAGAAAAAGAAAAAGAAAAAGAAAAAAAATGGACACCATCCCATTCACATCAGACCCAAATTCGCTGCTGTGCGAAAACGGGCCAAGTGATAATAAAAAAACTCCATTAGAAGAACCATTGCTATCAATCGCACAAACTTTACCAACTAATCCTGACAATAAAAACAATAACATTGAACAAAACGAAACACTATCAACTTATGAATTTCCATCAACCTTAATAAATAAAGAAATTATGACAAATGCCAATAGTATCAATAGTGGGCTAACCAGTAATTTAAACAGCGGTTTGATTAATAATGCCTTCAATAGCAGCAATAGCGGTATTAGTGGTGGTTGCTCAAACAACATCAACGATTTAAAAAACATTAATAGTAATGACGAGACCTCAATGGTAGATACGACAATCGATGAAAAAAATAATCAAAATAGCGATGAAGATGATGAATCAACACTACCCGAAAACTTAAACAATACTTTAGTACCAACATTACTTCCAAAATCACCAAAGATAACAAAGAAAATAAGTAAATTACAAGAACCTGATATTTCGGTATGTTTAAAATATAGTTTTTTATTAATAAATGAACCCTATACTAACACAATAGCTAATTATAGGATGATGGTTCTAGTGATGGAGACAATGGAGACGATGGAGACGATAGGGACGATGGAGACAATGAGGACAATGAGGACAATGGGGACAATGGGGCCGATCAATTACCAAAAGAAGATAATAATAGAGCCAAAATTAAAAGAAATATTTCAGATTTAGAAGATTTATTACAAGAGAATAACATTTACAAAAAAAATGACAAATTAACCGAAACTCCAGAAGAAGAAGAAGAAGAAGAAGAAGCAGAGGAAGAAAATAAACAAAAAACTAACGAAAATGGTTATCAAAATGATATAAAAGGTGATGAGAATGATGAAAACAAATTTATTATATCAAAAAAATCAAAGAGCCAGAGTTCAAACTTTTATTCATATGAAGAGCTAAATAAGAATAAAAGAAAAACAATATCCTCAGAGAAACCAAACCAAGATGATATAAACCCTAATGATGAACCAACAGGCGAATTTATAACATCAAAGAAATTAAAATCTGACCTTCCCCAACAAGCAACTAAATCAAATGAAAAAACAACACCAAAGAAAACTAAAAAATTAATTGAACCAAAAAATACTGAAACAGCAATTAAGGGATTGGATTTAGAAGATAGCTATAGTTTAGAAGAAAAACAATCAAATAATAACAATAAAAATAATAATAATAATAATATTGAAATTGATAATAATAATATTACAATTTTACCACCAAAGGCCACAAATCGTAAAATACTATTAAAAGATAATGAAGATGATAATATCAAAAAGAGAAAAAAAGAAGAAATTAAGAAAGAAAAGAAAAGAAAAGCTATTGAAGAACCAATAGAGGAGGATACCTCTGAACAACTTTTAGAGCATGATAATAGCGAAGATAATGAAGAAACTGATAATGAAGAAGAACTCATTAAAAAGAAATTAAAAACCAAAAAATCTAGTACTAAAGATAAAAAAAAGAAGCATCTAGAGGAAGAGGTATCGGAAAATATCGAAGAAGAAGAAGGGGTAGTTCCAAAAAAACAAAAAACCACCAATCAAAAGAAAAATCAAATAAATAAAAACAGTGATGGAGAATATGTGGAGGAATATGTGGAGGAATATGTGGAGGAATATGTGGAGGATAATGATGAAGATGATGAAGATACCGATATTGAAAACAACATAAATAGAGGCAATCAATCTAAAAAACCAACCAAATCAAGAAAAAAAAAACTACCAAAACAAAAAACAACATTATTTAAAGGATTTTATTTTTTACTAACTGGTTTGGGTGAAGATTCAGGTAAGTTATCATTTATTTACATTTAGATTGTATCAACTATTATATATTAATTCTTTTTATTTATAGAAAAAATAACAGATATTATTACTAGTGGTAGTGGTAAAATCTATGATAATATAGCTTCCTTTTTCTCGACCAAAATGAAGCGAATTGATGAAATCCCAAACAAGATAATATTGGCGCCAGACTGCGTTAATACAATTAAATATTTAAGAGGTATTGTAGAAGGCGTTGATTGTATAAACATCGAATGGGTATATGATTCAAATGAAGATCAAGAGCTAAAACCATACGAGGACTATATTTTACCAATTGGAAAATCAATTTTTAACCAAAAACCAATATATCCTAGCAAAAATTTCCGCGTCAATAATTTATTTGATGATTTCAGATTTGAACTATCAACCCCAAAAAGAGATAGTTCATTCAAAGATGACTGGTCTGCTATTTTAAAAAAATGTGGTGCCAAAATTGTTCAACGTATGTTAAATAAAGGCAAAATCGATGCATATCTTTTAGATGGTCAAGTTGGTAACTATCTTCTTTATGAAGTTTCCTCGCAAACCAATGTCCCTATAGTATCAACCCAATGGGTATTTCAATCAATTATCCATCAAAAAAGATTAGAATATAAGCTACATCCAAGTTTTTTAATTTTAAATAATCAACAAGAAAAATAAAAAAAAAAAATAAAAAAATAATTTGTTATTTATAAACAATAATTTTTTTTTTAAAAAAAGTTTATATTTTATTTTATCTATTTATTTATTTTATTTATTTATTTAGTAACAACACTTCTACTTGTTAATGATGATAAAAATCCAAGTACACCACCAATTGAACCAGAAATACCACTTCTAATAAAACCTTTTGGGGCACTTAAAAGAATGCCAACAGAGGCACCAGAAACAGTTGATGCTATAATACCTTCTTCATGAATTTTGAATGCAGTACTTATAATACGTTTAAAAAGACCAAAAGTGAAAACAGTTGATGCGGTAATATTTGATGAACGTGATGCACAATAATGAGTTGATCTCAAAATTGTTTTGAATCTACTTATAACTACGTTTGGTGTATAAACACCATTTATAATACCGACGGTTCCACCAATAAGACCTGCTCCTAAATATGAAATACCTGTAAATAATAACCAATTGCTATCTTTTTCAAGATCTTGAATAGTTGAAAATTCTACACCTTTTGGTCTATCAATATATCCTACTAAATCTTCTTCATAAATGGTCAAGTCTTCTTTATAGTCTGATTTATTTACCATTTTATTTATATTATATTATTATACTATATTTCTATAATTATTGTATTATTGTGGTTTATTTTTGATTAAATTTTACAAAAATTTTATTTTTTTCAATATTAAAAAATTGAAAAATTGAAACTATAAAAAAAAAGATAGATTATCTATTTATTTAATAAACTATAAATTAATCTCTATCTGTATATTGTAATAAAAAATAAAATGATTTTTATAAATTTTTTAAAAAAATATAAAAAAAATTAATTTTTTTTTTTAATTTTTTTTTTTCGTTTTTTTGAAAAAAAAAAAAAAAGGTGACATAATTTATAAATTTTTTTTTCATATGAAATTACTTTTAAAACTATATTAAAAAATAATAGATAAATAAAAATTTTGATTTAGAAATATTAAAAAATAATAAAATAAAATTAAAAAAACATAAATGAAATTTTGGTATTTCTATGTACAAAATGAGTGAGGGTGTTTTTATTAAGTATAATATTTTTAAATAATTGTTGAGTGCTTGTGTGGGGTTCGATATAAATTTTTTGATTTATGGTTTCATTCGATTTATCTTGTGGCTTCACATGCATCAATCCAGTCACTGTAAACATCAATTGGGTCTGAAAGTTCTATTAAAAAAAGGAAAAGTTAATTATTTGCCAAACATAGTTATTTTACTATTTTATTTTACATACCATGGATAGCAGTTACATAAAAAGCATTACAGACTCTACACTTGGCTGTACCTTTACCATTTTCTCTATCTCTAAAATTATTTTAAAAATGTTTCATCGTTAGTTTCATTTTTTTTTTATTTTTTTTAAATTAAAAACAATGGTCACAACATTCATAAATTAAAATTTTTAAAAATTTTTTTTTTTTTTTAAAATTTTTTTTTTATTTGTTTAAATACCTACAAAGTGCAATCGACTGATTGAGAATGATCACAAAATGGACAATCAAAATGTTTTGGTAATTTGGCAACCTGTTTTTTTGGTGGTGGTTTACTTGATTTTCTTTTACCCATTTTATATGTATATATGTAATAAAAAACTATATATATAAATACAAATAGCGAATAAACAAACAAAATAAAAAATTAAAAAAAAAAAAAAATTTTAAAAAAATTTATTTTTAAAAAATTTATTTTTTTTTTTTAAAAAAATTTAATAATTTTTAAATTATTTTTTTAAATTATTTTTAAATTAAAAATAACACAACATTTTATTATTTTTCCTCTTTGTCCTTTTTTAGAATAATTCATTTATTTTATTACAAAATAATATTTAAATTAAAGAGCCGCCACTCTTTTTTAGATATGTGATATAACAACAAAATATATAGTTTTAATAATAAATAAATCGTATGACCATTTTCACAATATTCAAATTTAATAGTGAAGTGCAAAAAAAAAAAAAAAACTTTTACACAAATATATTAATTTTACATTTAGAAAACCTAAGTTTCATTTATTTATTTATTTATTTATTTATTTATTTGTTTGTTTATTTATTTATTTATTTAATGATTTGTTTATTTTTTTTTTTTTTTAACTATTTTTAATTTCTAATAATAAATTTAAAAATTTATCTGTATATCTATTATTATAATTTCCATTATAAGTTAAATCTATTTTGGAGTAATTTAAATCTTTTAATATATTAAAGTTTGTAATAATTGATACATCAAAAAAGTATTTTAAAATATTAAAATATCCTTTGGTTATGATACTGTTTAGTAGAGTTTCATCAATAATGACCTTGAAATTATTTTCTGGGAAATACCACACACACAATTTGTATATACTAAGGTGACCATTGTATAGAGCCTCTCTTGCTAAATTATTGGGATGGAAACGATTGTTTTCATTGAATGGGAGTTTGAATATTTCTATATGGTTTTTGAAAAGATATTGAACAATTGCAGAGTTTCCATTTCTTATTGTATTTAATATTTCCTTTTTCCCAATAAAACCATGCTTTTTAATTATAAAATCTATAATATCCAACCTATTATAGTTTATTGCATTCTTGAATATCATTAGGATGTCTAAAGTTAACTTCATTCCTTTATTCTGTTTCTCTGAAAAATGTTTGTAAAATTTTAAAAACATTTCAAATGAGCATTGTTGATCTATAATTAAAATGAACACTTCCACAAGACTGTAAGATGATGATATTTCCAATCCAAGGAACTGATCTACATATCCTTTTAAAAGTATTTCAATTGGCTTTTGACTTTGAATAAAAAACTGTTCATGGTTCTTTTTAATTTGTTTTTCTTTTAGGTGGAAATCAATAAAAAATCTATGACCATTGGTTAGCTTTTCATCGTTCTGTGGTGATGGTATTTTTTGCTGCTGATGTTGATATTGATTTTGCTGAATAGTTATTTGACATGTATTGGTAGATTCATTAGTATTTGTGTAAAAATCACCATCATTTATGCTATATAACAGTCCATTACTATAAAGGTGTTGGAAAACTTGGTAGCATCCTTTCTTTAGAATGAAATCGTAGACCTTGCTAATTAAAAAGATATTATTATTTGTTGCTTTATAAAATAGTGTTATTAAATCTATAATTAGAGTTGGTTTTTGGTTTATTTCTACTGCTTTTTCAATAATGTTGAAATATAGGGTGTAGCTGAAATTATTTAATAAACTATTGTTGATTAAATGATGAATTATTTGATTTTCTTTGTTTAAGTTATTGTTTATTAAGGTTGTTGGTATATTTATATCCCTTTTGTTATTTACTATTGAAACTATTCTATTTAGTGATTCACTGTTATTATTTTTATTGCTTTTATTATTATTGAATATTATTTCTAATAAATGAGAGTTAAATAAATAACTTTCAATCCCACCAAAATAATTGTATGATAAAAAATCATCAGAGATATAATCTTTTAAATTTGAAAATAAAAGATTGATACTATCTAAATTTAATTGAGAATAAATTAGAATAGAACGGTCTAGTGTTAACTTTTCATAAAACAACCCACTAAAAATATTGATGAAAACCTGTGCATCTTGAATTATAGTTGATAAGTAGTTAATTAGTTTAATTGCTTGTTCATCTGATTTGTAGCATTGAATATGATGTGGCTCTACTGACTCTAGTGGCGATTCATTAAACTTGAAAAACAAATCTACAAATTTTGAATCAAATTCTTCACGCTGGGTAATAAAGTTAAAAGAGGTGTACTGATTTCTATTTATGTATTCTTTTAATGTTTTTTCAAAGAACGAGTCGTTTAGCTTTAACAATGATTCTATTGTTTCAAATGGATAGTATTGAACGAGTATATCGAGGAGATGGAAAAATGGGATGTAAAAATTTGATTTCTCGATGATTAATAGTTGGTTAAAAAATTGTACTATTTGTTCGGTCGGAAGAATGATGGAGTTGTTACTTTCCAAGTCATCTATACGGTCGAATATCTTGTTATTAAATTCGTCTGGTGCCATTAAAAATATAGAGTAGATATCTTTAAGCCCTTGAAGAGAAAAATATTTGAATGTTAACTTGTAGTGTTCAAATATAAAGTTCTTTAACAATATGCCACTAATACCATCGATATATTCCTTATACTTTGAATAGTTGTTGTAAAAAAAGTGGTCAATATAAAAATATTTTAATGTGTGTTTGAATTCATTAAGTATTTCTTCTATAGATTCTATTTCTTTAAGTCTTTGTAAAAGTGGACCTTTATAAACATCTTTGGGATTGATCTCTTCTATTAAAACTCTATATTTCAAATGGTTTAAACTTCCATATCCTTTTGAATGTAAAAACTTGTCAATAATTGCATAGTCATATCTTCTTTTAATATCTGTGTGGTATTGGCGGAAAAGAAAGTACACTCTTAAATCATACGACTTTAGGGATGCTACATCATGGAAAAATGGGAAACTACTACTATTTGGATACTTGCTAATTAGGTACTCTAAGTTTAGGTTTAAATTGTTATTGATGTATTCAATCATAATATCTCTGTTCTTTGATATTAAGCAATTCTTTAATAAATACTGCTCTGAACAACCATCGTTTTTATTGGTCATCATATATTCCAGTACCTCTATATTTCCTCTACCTATCGCAAGGTCTAATAGTCTTGTTGAAAATGGTTCATCTTGTATTCCATAAAGGGTTCTAAAGGTTTTAAGTGCAAATTCTGAATTGTGTTTTACTGATTCTTCGATTAAATCAATTATTTCTATTTCATCTCTTTTCTTTATAAATAAAAGTCTATATGATTCTTCATCCTGGCATAGTTTGATAAACTTTTTAAGATTCTTTTTATTAATACTGTGTATATATTGATTTGATCTGAGCTTGTCTTTAAGAAAAGAGTATTGTTTTTTTTCGATTATCCATTCAAAACTAGTTATTTGGTTATATTCTATTCTATTGCCTAAATGAGTTAAATGATCTGGAAATTCTATAAATTGATTTTTAATTGAATGTAATATTTGATTTCTAAGTATCTTGAACCTCCATATTTTCCAAAATACCTTTTCATTATGACATTCACTATTATTAAAATTAAAAAGATTATTGTTTATATTATCATTTTCAATCATTTTTTTTAAAAAAAAAATTTAAAAAAATTTATAAAAAGTAAACTAATTGTTTAATTATAAAATTTAATATAAATTTAAATATTAAAAATTAGTATATTATAAAAAAGATATAAAAACTTTAATTTAAAGAAAAAAAAAAAAAAAAAAAAAAAAAAATTACATATTATATTTTATAAATATAATATTAAAAAAAATATTTAAATATTAATTAATAATTTTATTTAAACACATCCATATAACTTTTTTTTTACAAATTGGGGTAAATGTAAAATAAACAAAATATCCATCCAACACGCCTGAATATAAATAATGAAGGGGTATATAATATTTAAAAAAAGATAATAAGTAATAATAAGTTTTTTTATTTAAACACCTATCATGTGTTATAATTAGTGAATAGATTTTAAAATATTTAAATAAATAAAATTTTATTTATTTATTTATTTATTCATTTGTTTTTTTTCTATATTTGAATTGTTATTTTTTTTTAAGTAGTGGGGGTTAAAGTGTTATATAAAAATACAAAAATTATTGAATGTGTGTGTATGTCCCTGTGTGTGTGTTTAATTGTATTTAAATTTTTTTAATACTTTTTCATTTTCGACTGAATCATCGTTTGTTTTTACTTCTTTTTGAATTTTATTATAATTTAATATCATAAATTTCATTTTCTCTGAAACATGGTTTAATATATTTTTAATTTTTAAAAACTGTTCTAAATTGGGTAACTGATTCGTATTAAATAAAAATTCTAAAGTAAAACAAAAATCATTTTTGACGATTGATGTGAGTACTGGGTTTTTAATTGGTTTGAAATTAAAATCTGGAAATTGAGATTTAATAATTTTATGAACTGATATATGACCATTAGTTAATGCAAGTTCATTTAATTCATTTGGATCTATAGCTCTATTTGTAAAAAATTCCTTTTTCTCTTTAAAAAGATACTCTATAATTGGTATATTGCCTTTTATAAATGCTTCTTTTAGTAATTTATTACTTGGTATGGTGTCGCTGCAGTTTTGAAGTAAATAGTCAAATATATCTACTCTATTACAACAAATGGCAAGATCCATATAGTAACTCCTAAAATCTTGACTATCTTGAAAATATACCTTGAAATCTTGTAATTTAATATAGTTCATATAAGTGACGGTAAATTCTTTTTCAAGCGGTTCTTCATATAATTTAGAATACTCTGTTTCCCAAATCCGCTGCTGCATAACTTCACAAGTCGTTAAACCATCATCTTTTATATTGAGATATCCATTTTTAAAAAGATAATTAAATAACTTGTACAGGTGTTTCTCTAATGACATTTTCATTAATGATGAAATTAGTTCCTTTTTATTTTCGCCATCTGGATATACTCTTAATATCATATCGACCAACTCTATTGTAATATGTTCATCTTCTGATGAGATTCCAATTAAAATTAAACCCATTGACACACCTGGAATATGATGAAATAATGAGTTTGAAATTAAATATTTTATGTAGTCTTCTTTTGTTTTTAATAATGATTCGTTATCGATTTGTAAATTATTCTTTTTTGCTATAGACTTGATAATTGTGAAAAATCCCTGTGCATCATTACTTTGAATTGATGATATTATATTTGATGGCAATAACATGTGTAAAACGTTCATTTTTAGTAGGTTAATCTCGAATACTTCAATGATCCGTTTATTGAAATAGTTATCTATTTGGACTTGATCGGTATATTCATAAATTGTGATTTTTTCCTCGATAGCCAAGTCATTGGAGAGGATACCAAACATCATATCCCCTAATAAAAAAAATAGCTCTTTTTTATCTTGATCGAGTTTTATTAAGGTATGTACCATTTTAAATCTTTTTATTATATCTCCATCTACGCATTCAGACAACTGTTTTTTATTTTCATCTGAGAGGGTGGGGGTATTGATGAACGTGTTGTATAAAAAGTTAACTTTTCTTTCATCGAATATCATTGCTTCACTATTGATGGCGCTGAAATCTTCAATTAGGAAATAAAAGTACCTTCCTACCACTTTATTAAATTCCAATTCTATATTTTGAAATTTGAAAAACAACGCTTCTAAAACCTCTAAAGGATATAGCCTTGCTAACCACCTAAAAACTTCGCGCCAGTGGATTGGAAAATTATTATCTTGACATAAACTAAAAAATCTAAAAATTTCTTCGATGGTTTTAATCTTTAGTAAAGAGCTGTCATCTATTTTGAGTAACGAATCTGACAAATAAAAAGGGCCGCCTAACTTGGTGTGGTACTTTATAAACATTTGTAATGCATCGATATCAAAGTTTAAAAATGCATAAGAGTACAGGTCTTGTAAACTGGCAGATGAGCTAAAAGTCTTAATTTTTTCGTAATCTTCCAAACCAACCCTCCATAGATAATAATCTTCTTTAAACACTGCCAATGGGAATGTATCTATAAGCTGCTTAACTGGGTAATCTGGATTTCCTAATAAAAAAGCTTGCAGCTTTTCGAAATCATAATTGTTTGAAATAACGCCCCGCATTAATAAAATATATTCCAATATTTTCGGATTTGTAAAGTACCTTGAATCGAACTTTATGTCAAAATAGTGGGCTGCCAATGCTCTTGAACCTCTGTCATAAAACTGGTTCATTAATAATGAAATTTTATAATCTAGTGAATTTATTCCTATAATATCCACCAATTTTGGTAAGTTATCTTTTTCTAAAATATTTGGTGATTTGGTTCTTTTCGCTAAAGAATCTATTGGTAAATTTAATTTCTTTTCAATGAAATCTAATGCCAGATCTTTGTGTGGCGAAGATACAGCGGAAAAAATTAACATTTTTTCATTATACTCTTCGCAATCGTTTGATAGTTTGTAATTAACTCTGATAAAATCTGCAACTTGGATAGCTCCATGTGAAAGTGCCATTTGCATTAAATTTGCTTTTGTATAAAAACCATTTATTGATACTAAATTGCTTAACTGGTAATCATCACCACTGTCATTATAAAGTCCATACAATTCGATAAACATTTTAAAGAAAAAAACTGAATCATTTACAATTGCAATTTGAAATGGGTCTTTTATTAATAAATACTCCCTTTTCTTTGACCATAGACTTCTATATAACTCTTTATCATTGCAACCTCTTGCGCAAAGTAAATCTAATGTATTACCACTAACATAGACAATATGATTTGATTTTAATTTATCCTTTATCATCTCATACAACCCTAAATGAATCATTTCATCGGCAAAAGTAATTGAATTGTAATCTATTCCATTTTTGGAGTTGTTGGTTTTTAGAAATAATAATATTTTACTTTTAATTACTAGGTTTCTAAAAACTTTCCAAAATAAACTCTCCATCCCAAATAAAAGTTATATTGTTTGTTTTGAAAAAAAAATAAAAAAACTTAATATATATATTAGAAAATAAAAAAAAAACTTTTTTTAAAATTTATTAAAATAAAAAATAAATTTTAAAAAAAAAAAAATCTAAAAAATGCATGGATTGAGGAAGCAGTTAAAAAGTTAACTTTAAAAAAAATTTTATTAAAAAAAAAAAAATTTTGATTATTGTTATTATTAATTATTATTAAAATTATAATTATATTATTATTTATTTATTATTATTACATAAATTTAAATTCATCTAAAAATTGATTGACATCACGAGTGTCACATTTCTGAACCAAATCTTCTCTATTCATTAATCTAAAAACCATTTTTAAGTTATCCCAAATATTTTGAGCTGGATGAATTGCGATAGCACCTAAAAATGTTGAAGCTGCTTCATTAAACATATTTAAAGAAAGATAGCTTATACCCAAATTACTTCTAGCTCTTACATATGATGGTTTATGTTCTAATGCTTTGAAATAAGCACCTAATGCCTCTTGGGATCTATTACTATTTGCAAGGGTTGCACCTAATTTATTCCAAAGTTGGTAGTCCTCTGGTGAATTTTGAAGTGCGGCTTTAAAACAATCAACTGCTTTGTCATATTCATAAGACATATTGTAAAGGAGACCAAGAGCAGTTTGAACCTCTGGATCTGGGTTGTTTGGTCTTAAACGAGCAGCTTCGATAAAAAGGTTATTGGTGAATTCATGATGCTTCCATGTATCCATAAATGAATCTGGGTCAGCGTTACCTTTGAACTCTCTATAAAGATTAGAGTAAACTGGTGATCTTTGAAGCCATTCCTCCAATGTACTTAATGCACTTTCTTTTTGATAATCGTTGGTATAACTAACAGCTAATGCTAAACGAGCTTTAATATTATTTGGTTCAATGTTGATTGATTTTAAAAGACATGTGATTGCTTTACCATCTTGATCATTTTCTGCATGTGCAATACCTAAATACATCCAAGCTGTAGCATTCTCTGGATTTCTTTTTACTTCACTTTCTAATGCTATAATTGAATCTGTAAGATGACCCTCATTGAAAAGATCCATACCACGCTCTAATGTGTCACTGTCTCTAGCCTCATTAATTGAAAATTGATATTCTTGAACACGATATTCTGGAATAGTTTCTTGAAAATTTGCATACTCTTCTGCCCAATCATTAGAGAGGCCTGATACTCTTTCAAAATCTGGATTATGAACTACTTCGTCACCAATGATAGTGGCCTCACCACTATTTAGTTGTTTCATAAACTTCATAAAGTTTGATTTATTTAATTTTGGGTCATTGATTTGTGTGATTGGACGAGTAATATCATTAATTGATTTTCTAGCTGTTTCATCCCATGCTGCTTCTACTGATTGATCATATTCGTCTTGGGCATCATGCCATGCTGAATCAAATGGTGAAAAGTTCTCTGGATCATCATAAATTGCATCAAAATCTTCTTCATCCTCTAATTGATCGAGCTCTGCTTCGTGACGTGCACCATCCCTCCATGCTTTCTCGAAATCCTCTTCTTCTTCCTGATAGTCTTGTGGTAAATCTTTTTCAAATTGACGGTCAAAATGTGAAAATGGTTCGAATGATGTAGTGGTAGTAGTGGTAGTGGTGGTTGGATGATGATGATGAAATTGCTCTTGTTGTGGTTGTTCCCAATAACGATCAAAATCTTCGAAATTGTCTTGCTCCATATCAATTCCAATTGATTCAAACATTCTATTTAATTGATCTTCTGTAAAACCCTCTGATTCATTTGTAAAATGTTTAAACATAATATTGGATCTATTTTTAATTTTAAGTTTATCTGAATGTGTTAAAGGTAAATGATGTAATGGTGTTGGTTGCATTAAATGCTATAAATTAAAAATTAAAAAATTAATATTTATAAATATAACAATTAAAAAATGAATAATAATAAAAATACCTACACCTGATTTAGTTGAGTTTATAAAATCTTGAAAAAAGAATTGTAATTCGCTTGCAACATTTGATAATGGTAATTCACCATGATGTTCTCTTGGGACATCATTAAAATTTAAATTTCTATCTAACATGAAATGAATGTCATCCTCATTAGCTTCGCCATCAAAAACACTATCCAAATGTCTTTGCTCATTAAATTCCTCACGATTATAAAATTGATTGAATAATTCATTTTTACCGTGATTTTCATATTTGCCCTATAAAAAATAAAAAATAAAAAATATTAATAACAATATTTTAACAATTTAACTCTAGGGAAATAAAAACACATACATATAACTCTGATCTATCGTTTGTTAAATGTTGAACAAAATTACCAAATGCATTTGGTTCAGCACATTCACCTTCTACCAAATCTCTGAAAACTGACATTTTATATTTTTTTTTTTTTTTTCTTTTGTTTCTTGTTTTCTTTTTATTCCTTTATCTATACTTTTGTTTGCTTTTGTTTGTGAATATGAACACATAAATAATTATTTAACTATAAATATGAAAATAATTTGTTTTAATAAAAAGATATTCAAAAAAATAAAAAACAAAAAAAAAAAAGAATAATAAAAATTTTTATTAATAATTAAAAAAAAAAAAATTTAAAAAAAAATTTAAAAAAAAAAAAAATTTTAAAAAAAATATTAAATATTTAATTTTAATTTTAAAAACGATAAAATAGGAAAAAAAAATTTCCCACTATTATCTGTTGGATTAATAAATTATTATTTATATAATTTTATGTGAAAATAAATAATAAAAAAAAAAAAGAAATAAAGTTTTTAAAAAAATAAATATAAAATATTTATGGAGATTTTATTTATTATATTTTAAAGCTTTAAAAAAAAAAAGAAAAAAAATATAAAAAAAAGAATATATTATTTGGAAAAAAAAGCGGTAAATTACCTTTTAAATAAACAATTGGATATTACAAATAAACAACTGTTTAAAATTTCTTTTTTTTTTTTTTTTTTTTTTATGAATAGGAAGGTATTATCTTTTCTATATAAAGCTATTTGATTTAATTTGGATTTTGATTTAAAACAAATTTGATAAATTGTTTGGTGATGACGAAAAACAAAACTTTCTGTGTATTATTGGTGAATATCTCCCTTTATATGGAGAGGATGATAAATTTGGGTGAGGAAATTTCTTATTTACTTTTTTACTTTGACCGATTGATAAGTTATCAAAAGAGTTTTCTAAATCCTCATCATCGCTATCATCGCTATTATCGCTGCTATGGTTATTATTGATATTTTTTATACTATTTTTATATGTATAACTTGTTTTTCTTCCTATAAAAAAATTATTATTGTGGCCACCACTATAAAGTACTAAACTATTATTTCTATTATTATTCATATTATTATTATTGTTGTTAATGGATTCATTGTTGCATGAGTGATTTGTACATGTTAAACTATTGCATTCTTGATAATTATTTTTACATTTATTTTTTAAAATTTCTTCGGTTTTTGTTTTTGTCGTTTTTGTTGTGGTTGTCATTGTTGTGGTATCCACTCCAAGGTTATTCATAAACTCCTTGGATGCTGAATATATTAACAAAGGTGATGATGACAGCGATGATGATGGTGATATGGTGGAAAACCTTAAACCTGATAATGACTCTAACAATTGATCTGTTTTATTTTGTATATTATTATTATTATATGCCTCTATAACTCTCATTTTCTTTTCATATTCCTAAAATAATGACAACATAAATTTGAGTTAATATATGATGAATATTATTTATTAATACAACTATTAGTAGTGTGTAGTTACATACCCTTTTTTTTTGGCCAATCGAAATTTTATGCATTGATATCATTCTATGATGAGATATAAATAAACCTTTACTATTATTACTATTAATTGATTTATTAGAAAAAACTGAATTCGAATTTGGATTATATAAAGCTATTTGGTTTGATTGAGGTTGTTGTTGCTGTTGTTGAATTGTTGTAGTTGTTGTTGTAGTTGTAGTAATAACAGTATTATAATAATTATTACCATTATTATTATTATTATTACTATTATTATTATTATTTAAAGATATTGAAGTCATCATATTTGACAAGTCTCTATTTATTTCATTATTATTATTATTATTATTGTTGTTATTGTTGTTATTCCCATTGTTATTTTCGTTGCTATTGCTAATATTTAAATTTCTAAGAGGGAGAAAATCTGGAGATGATGATAAATCGAACATTTTATTTATTATTTTAAATTAAATAAACAAATAAAATATGCTGTTATATAGAGATAAATGGAAAATAAAAAAATGAATGCATAAATTAATATTTTAAAAAAAATTGTTTTAAATTTAAAATTTTTAAAAAAAAAAAGAAAAAAAAAAAAAAATAAATAAAAAATGTGGGTCAATTGAATTTATTATTAGTTTAATATGGGAGGGGTAAAATGTGTTAAAAATAATATACATAACCACACATACACGCACACACAATTAAACAAAACATATACAATTATTGTTTTATTAATTGTATTAAAATGATAAGATAATTATCTTTGGAAAAAATAATTATTATTATAATAATTGTTATTGATGATGTATTATATTTATAATTTTAATTTATAATATTATGCTAAAATTTATTTCTTTTTTCTTTTTTAAAAATATTTATATGTTTGGTAATTTTTGGTTTGGAATGAATTTTTAGTGAAATAATATTATCAACGATTAAATGAAACAATTATAAATAATATTATTATTACCATTATTATTATTATTATTATTATTTTATAACTATCAATATTAATATTATTTATTTTGGAAATGCTGTGGTGAAATACTTTACAAGCAATGATTGAAAAAAAAAAAAAATATATTTGGAAAAACTCAAATATAAATCAATGAATCAATATACACACAAATATATAAATAGAAAATGGGTTAAATAAAGAATAAATAAAAGAAAGAAATAATGAATGGTTATAATTTTACCACATATACCATACATACTTTGCAAATATTGTAAATAAAGTATTTTATGTAAAAAAAAATAATAAATATCTAAAACCAAACTTTGAAATAAATTTTTTTTTTTCTTTTTTTTTTTTTTTTTTTTTTTTTTTTTTAATTTTTTGTAATTTTTTTTTTGATTCTAACTGACACACACACAAAAAAAACCATCTTGTTTTTTATTATTAGGACTGTATGTCATTGCAATCACACAATTATTCAATCTAAATAAAAAAAGTAAAATAAAATAACAAAATATATAAATTTATAAATATAATTGCAATCATTTTGTTTTATTTGTGTATTATAATTAATTAAAATTTTATCAAGATTAATTTAGTTTGTGACAAATCTAAAATTAATTGGGTGATCAAAAAAAATATTCTTGGTGAAAAACTGAAAATAAAAGGGGTAAATTTAAAAATAATAACATTTATATAAATAATCACAGAAAATAAGAATAATAAATAAATAAT